AGTTCCGAGATGCAGCAATCCAGCGTTGAAATCGAGCACGCACTTGTGTGCTTTGAGGAAATCGACGCCCAGGATGCACTGCTCCTCGATAGCGGCAACGACAACAGGCAGCGAAGCGTGAAAGCTACCCACGGTGAAGGGTACAGTTGTGGAGCCTAGTACGGCTACCATGTCTCCCGTTGCGGTTTGCAGAGCATAGCTGTCAGAGCTTTGTGGAACAGCACGATTCGCTTTCATCAAAACTTCCGGTCTAATTACCGAGGTTGTAGCTCCGGTATCAACAAGTGCGCGTACCGAAACTCCGTCGACGACGCCCTGAAGGTAGATAGATGTAAGTGGTGCTGTCAGGACACGTGTTGATGTGATTATCCGCGGCAATGTTGCTGTTGGGTTCCGGCTGCTGGGGTGATACGTGGGACATTGTGCCCGCGTGTGGCCCTGCTGATGGCAGTTCCAGCAAGCTGGGGCTGGAGGCGCATGTGTTGCTGTTGTCGGGGCTTGCGGCTGCGTAGGAGGCCCCAGAACCGTAGATCGTGATGCTTGTCGAGCAGCTTCTATCTCCAGCGCGCCCGTGTGTGCTGCTCGGAGAGTCTTGGGGCGTGCTAGCCGAACCGCATCCTGCACCTCAACGGAGGAGATGGCGTCAATGAACGCCATGGTTGCCACAGCGTCAATTGTGTCTTGTGGGCAACCAGGAAATGCAAGATGGGCGAGGCGCTCGATGTCGTCGGCGACTTGAGAAACTGTCTCGGTTGCAGACTGACGACGGTTGCGAAGTTGGGCGTGATGAAGAAAGCGGAGGGGTCCTTCCCCGTAGCGCTCGTTCAGTGCCGCGACCAAGGCTTCGTAGGAATCGCGGGTGTCGGGTGGTAGGTAGTGTAGTACTGTCAAAGCTGGTCCGGTTAGATGGGCGGCCAAGGCTTGTGCCTTTTGAGCCGGAGACCATTGGTTAGCGTCAGCAATGAGGTTGAACTGGGATACGTAAGGCGCCCAAGGAACGGTACCGTCGAATGTCGATGGCTTGAGACGCAGGGTTGAAAGTCGGGTAGCGTTCTGAACCGGGGGGCTTGCGGTGCGCTGCTCCTCGAGTTCAGGGAATCGAGACTCCAAGCGGTGAAGACGTTCTGTCATGGAGGCAGTGAAGTCCTGAATGGATGATGTCATAGTTTGGAGAAGCAGGCTCTCTCGTCGAGCGTAGGACGCTTCGGCTTGTTGGAGCCAGCTTTTGAAGAGGGCCATGGGTTCGGACGCTGTCGGGTCTGAAGAAGCGAGATTTTCGGCGCCGGTAGTTGCGGTGTTGTCCCCTTCGGGACTGGTAGGAGGTTCCATTGCCCGGGGAAGGCGTCGGCCCGAACGGAGCTCCACTTCTGACACCAGTGTTACAATTTCTGCTTTCCTTTTTAACTGGTTTAATCACCGCACAGAGAGGTCCGACATCTTCGATGGCTGTCTTCCAACTGCCTCGCGCACACGCACGAGCACGACGAGCGTTCCCTTCGTCGCGTGCCGGTTGCTTCTCTTTTATGTTTTTTGTTCACCCGGCACTCAGCGTCTCCGCTACAATATAATCTATTGATTGTGCCCTCGAACAGATATGAAGCCGTATAAAGGTAATCCAAAGCAAAGTGTTCCCATAAAGAAAAATAAACCTAGAGCAGTCCATACAAATATTTTAGGTCGTAGACAATTATTCTAGTTAAATCTAGAATTTAAAGACATTTAAAATCATAATATTGCGGGTCATTATATGTACGTAAAGAGTCACGGCTTTATTCAGAAATCGTGTGTAACATCCCACTTTGAAAGGGTGCTTGCCCCTTAGCACAGCAGTGGTCATTTTGTTGTACCGAACCGAAACTCTTTTTGGTTCAGTTCGGGTTACGGTTCAAATATTTCGGTTCGGTTTCGGTTCCGTTCAAGTTCATCCCCGGAGCGAAAAATATAACGTTTCGAACCCCTTTAGACCGGTTCATACGGGTTCCTATAACGGCATAAGGAAAAATGTAAAATTCAACTGAGTATTCACACACCACAACTTCCATATAGTGGATTACTGCGGTGTGAAAAAAGCGATCATTTATTGTTGTTTTTTTTTTTCGTTCTTGTTCACGAAACACAAAATTGAAGATATCTAATGCAAGAATGAACGAGTGCCTCTCCAAACCTGTTAAATGCACAGCCTTTTAAAACGGGAACGCCCTCGCCGAAGATACGGCAAATACTTTGCCGGGAAGCATAGGCGTAGATTATGGAGGGGGGCATGGGGGCTCGTCCCCCACCCCCTGGTGAGAACAAGAGGGAGGCCTTTACCGAGACGCTCTTTACGTGCCAGGTATAAAGTTTCTTGTAGTGGCATGTAAAAAAAAAAATTCCCACATTGTCTTGATTGACAAAAAAAAAAGACATGAAACATGGAATTTCAGCATGCTTCCGGGGGGGGGGGGGGGGGAGGGGGGGGGGGGCAGGGGGGTTCCTTCGCGCTTCCGCGGAAAAGGCACCCCCCCCCCCCCCCCCCGGGAAAATGGAAACTCTACGCCGCTGCTGTGAAGTGAACATCCCAATATGGCATAATTGTCGGGATTGTCTTGCTCATCGCCATACCCTGCCAGTGGGTTTTAGCGCTTTTACGCCCAGAAAGCAACCAGGGAGCGAGCTCCGAAACCATCGTGCAGACGACAAACAGGCTTGTATATGACATAAAAATTCACGGCCTCCGATTTCGCTCAATTTCGTATACCTCTATACCTAAAGATTGCGCACTAAAAATGTTTACAAAAATCTTTTTGCGAAAAGGTGTGTATATTTAGAATTCGACTCTTGCATGGCGTATCAAATATCTTTGTCCGTACGGCCCACCCGTCATATTGTAAAACGTATTTGGTAAACTACATATCATCATATAAATAACCATGAGCCCATGTCGTAATTTTATGCAAAGCAATTAATTGCTTAGTTTAAAAGCACCACTACGATTTCGCTTTCATATTGCGATACAAAGTTTTTTCCAATCACGGGTATTTTAGTTGAGATACCAGACTTCGCGAGAACCCTTCGATACTGATGTATCTGGCTAATGGAAGATATTGCAAGTTGAGTCGTACAAACACAACCATTTGTACGTAAATCAAAATTCTTTTACTGTTTCATCGAAGTTAAACCACACAATTTTTTTTTAATTTTTGGTACTTAAAACTAAAAGCGGATTGTGCCAACGATGAAGAACTATGCGGAGGGCAAGTTCGTCTGCTTCTCGCGCAGCGGGTAGCGGTGACGTCAGAACGCCGAGCCCTGATTGGCTGATCGCGCCCCCCTATCTGAGCGTCGTCTGCTCCTTTGCAACGTCGTCTGCTCGCAACGTCGTCTGCGTCTGTCTTACCTTTCCTGCGGCTTTCGGAAGTGCAGAGGCCAGATTCACGAAACGATCTTACGCCAAAAATGTGCGTAAGACAAAACTTAAGAACAAATTCGTATTCACGAAACGAAATTTTCGTAAGTTTTGCGCAGGTTACGACAAAATCCTACGACAGCTCCGAAGCTGTCTTACGCACTTCTTACGATCAAATCAGCATGGCCGACAACGTCGCGGTCGCGACGACCCACAGACGTTTATTTTTTTACGCGCGGTTCTGACGCGTCCCGACTTCAAGCAGCAAGAAAAAAGTAAAAAGTACTTGAAACAGACTACGACGAACAAGAACGCTGGATCCACAAACACCCGGGAAAAGCTCCCACGGCCACGATCCCACCGAACGCGACCAAACGAGCTGGGCAGTTAGGCCTAGCAGGCTCTCCGCGACTCGGCGACCGTCTGCCCACGACCGGCTGGCGTGCTGAGTGGAATATGCCCGCGCGACCCTTGTGAACCCTTCCCGTATAATATTTTGATTGCTGACCTCAGTTTTAGATTAAAATGTCAATTTCTTCCTCTTGTTATATCCTTGTTTCCCGAGGCAACGGTGACTCTCGCCGATGAAAAAGCGGTGAATCTCCGACAGACGCAGCAAAGGTAAAGCAGCCATCGCTTTGACCGCTTTGACTAGCAGACGTAAAGCAGACGACGTTAACTGCGCCAACCCGCCGACGCCGTTAAAGAGTGAGGGGTCTCGCCGCACACGAATGGAAGGAAAAAGTATTTGGGAGGGAACTTGCCTCGGTTCTAAGCAAAAAAACCTCGACGCCCCGGGACACCTCGCCAGGGAGTCCTTTCCCTCCTTGATGCGCGTCTGCTGGTTGTTAGACAAAAACAACGTACCGCTCGAGTTATTTCGTCTGCCCTCTCTTAAAGGCGAGGTCAAGTTCGCTCCGAAAGTCGCAGGAAAGGTAAGACAGACGCAGACGACGTTGCGAGCAGACGACGTTGCAAAGGAGCAGACGACGCTGAGATAGGGGGTCGCGATCAGCCAATCAGAGTTCGGCGTTCTGACGTCACCGCTACTTCCTTTCTTATGCGCAGAAGACGAAAATGAGCCCGCTTGCGAGGCGTATACTCCGTTCACCCCTAAGATGAGGCTGTGGTGGAAGCTACGTCCTCGTTGGAGCAGTTATACGTCCGTTTTCCGCCACGACTTAACGAGGTCTTGCCTGCATAAGATAGAAGACAACTTTAGTTTGCACGTATTGAAGCTAAAGGAAGGAAGCTTTTGCACCTACGCTTCTTGTGGGAGTGGCAGACGGCCTGTTAACCCAGGTGAAAATTCAAAGTGGGACCATTTTAAGTGGTTTATGGAACTGGGACCACTTTACAAGTGGGACCACTTTGAAAGTGGGACCACTTTGGAAGTGGGACCAGTTCCATAAACCACTTTGGAAGTGGGACCACTTTGGAAGTGGGACCACTTTGGAAGTGGGACCACTTTGGAAGTGGGACCACTTTGGGAATGATACCACTGTGGGAATGGTACCACTTTGGAGCCAGGAACAGTCCCTTGTCCATAGTTCAGTGACATCATATGTAATCGTGAAAACCAGTTCAACATATGCAGATGAGAATATAAAGAATCGGCAGTAGTGAAATATAGTTTATTTCCTAGCTCCAGATGCCGTCTTACACTACTGCAGAAGGGCCCTGCGCTTGAAAGCTTTTCGGGTGTCTTGTATTTTTTCTGACAATACAGTATTCATGTTTGCAACTGTACTTGTGATGTCTACGTTCTCTGTCCGACCCCAGTGTGCCAACGTTTCTGAAAAATAGTAAGGCAAAAACAAATGTTAGTATTAAATAATGACACAATCTAGTTCTTAACTCACTTACCAAAGACAAGGGAGACCTTTTCTGGGGTGAGCTCTTTGCGAGCAGTAGCATCCAGATTTTTGCGGTCCTTCGGGGCCAGCCTTCCCCCATAGGTTCTTTCATTGAGCTTTTTCGAGCCCCAGAGAGCTTGTGCGGTGTCTTTAGCCGTCTTTGCTGCCTTTTTGTTTGCATAAATAGTTTTCCTTTGAGTTTCGGAGATGGTAACTCCTCCTTTGAGATGGAACTACAAAACAGACCAAACATAAAGGAACATTTAAAAAGGTAAACTGAATGAAAGGCTGAACTGAACTTACTCTGCCATTTTCCAAGGTGCTGAACGGTGGAGCATTCTTTGGCCCGTTGTAATCAGCGACAACTGCATTAAAAAAATTTGTGAAATATCTTAAGAGACCTTTTTGTGCATTGAGTATGCTAACTTTTGAAAGAGTTTTGCCCCTGTTCTTTAATCTAACTATATAAGAAACAGAAAAAAATTATGAGCTATGGAAAGTTTCAACAAAATTTCTACAAGCAATCATTTTATATTTTCCTAATTATGGCAGTCTTTGTACTTTCCAGGTAAAGGCAGTTTTTCTCTTAATTATAATATTACCATCAGTAGACTGGGGTTGTCGCTGGCGGCCACTGTCAGCGGAAGACAGCCAACTTGACGTTTTCGTCTTGCTTTTGGCCACCCCATTAGAACCTGAAAAATATGTTCTTTTCAGTCTGATTTCTTGCACAATAATAAGGCAGACGAATAAGAGACTGAACTTCAGCTGATCGCAAATCATCCTGAAGAAATAAGAACTGGTTACCCGTGGCTGAAGCTGTCGAAACGGCAACGGGGGCACCAAATCCCACGGTGACATCTGAAACTTAAGAAACGGCTTGTTTTTATAAAGCACTGATGTTTTTTTTTGTGCTAGCCTCGACAAGGACTGGAGCTGTCAATAAAGCGTTCATGCAGAATGTTGTATAACATTCTGAAGTGCTATGACGCTATGTATTTTCTCAAGTATCCACTGGTTGCTAAATTTGTGCAACAACTGTATGTACAGTATAATTATCTGGAAATAAATAATTAGCAGTCTGCAAGCGTGAATTTAGAAAATGAAGCTTGCAAAGAGAGTCGAAAGGAACTTTATAAATAAGATGTTGCAAAGTAGACACTAGCAAATACACAAGAGAATGACTAAAAAAATAAAATTATGGCAAAAAAAGAGGAATAGAGCAATGTAGTAGTTGATGCTGCAGGAAATAAGAGAGCATGCATGTTTGTACAAAGAAGGTTCCCCTGCGAGACTTAAGGTAAAAGTATTTAATGGACACTCTAGTACTCCTTTTGCAAAACAACCGGAGCAAAACTGATGTTAACTGTTTATCCTTCCGGTTAAGTAAGAAGTGAACATTCACCAGGGGCAGTGGGTTCATCCCATGAAGGACTTGGATGTGCATCTTCCATCCAACTAGCTGCTGACGTGTGATCTGAAACATAGACAATTTCCCCAGTGTATACTGGACGAGCAAAGTAACACATGAAGGGAATTACAAAACATGTCATACAAACTATGCATAACCATAAACATACTAGTAGTGACAAGTAAGCAGAAATCGAAAGAAAGGGCATGAGCCCATATTTTAGTTTGAATGTAAAGAGATTCATAACTCTAGAACTGTACAGGGTGTTTCAAGAAAATTGGCCTAATTCGTTTGTGCAAAACTATATGCATCACACACAAAAAAAGATTGACGTCGTTTTGGTCTGTGCTGAAGGGCCTATTTAGTGAAAGTACTAAAGTTTGGAATTAATGAGTTTAATTATTTTGAGAAATTAAATTAAAACATTTTTAAATTTAAGGACAAAGTTTAGTTAGAAACTTGTCGGGCATCATCCAAAGTTACATACTCAATTAATTGCAGAAAGATATAAGGTACTATATCAGCCACAAAAGTTTATGGGAACCATGGGAATTAACTAAAAAATTTATTTACTGCAAGTCTGGGCTTGCTTCCCCAGTGCGGATGATCTTTGGGGGATGAAAAATCACCCACACCCATAAAGTATGTTCAAAGTGCAAGGTTGCACCACAGATAAATTTTTTAGTTTCCTCCTGTGGTCCATAAACCTTTGTGGCCGATAGTACATGTAGCATTTGGTAACCTTCCGAAAAACCACTAAAATTGGAAACATTTTTGTGTTTTAGTTTTCTACCAGAGTGCACAACTCACCTGGGCTTAGCTTGAGGGGATTTAGCTGCTGGGCTCGTCCCTGTCTCTCTAGAAGCTTCAGCACTAAGGTGTAATAGAAAAAAAAAAAAAAACATGTAAACACACTACTTAGTGTCCATATCTTCATTGCTTGTGTTTTGTAGCTTATCATAAAGTGTATGCAAGAAGAGAACTATAACCCCAGTGAATTTGTACTTACCAAGGTTTAGGAAAACAAATCATGGAAAAAACCTGCTTTGTGATACATTTCATATTGCGGAACATAGCACTATGTATATTAGAGCAGACAATTGGGTCATGTCAGCATTTCTCCTTCAGCCCAGCACTGGATGGTAAACTGGATAAACTCTATACTGTTTGTTATTGCGAGGTGGCAGTTCGCTAGCCGCAGCGCCCTTGGATATCGTAGGACTTGTACGCCGTTTACTTAGGGGGCTGCACAGAAGCTACCATGACAATTTATTTCTAAGACATAACAAACAAAATAACAGCACATGGATAACTGAATATTTCATGCGGATGCGAGCGGTAATGGCAATTTCCATTATTGTACCCTCTACTAGTGGCCTTCCCATTGCACATCTGTTACTAGAGCTGGCGAAGTTTACTTCCCCAGTGTGGCACACCAGTGCAAAGTATCATTTGAATCAAATTGAACGAGCTTATAACAAAGAGTAGGAAGAAAGGCGACTATGCTCACTTGAGTCAAGTTTGCCATCCATGCCATTTTGCAACGACTCTATGACTTTCTGCAGCCTTGCATTCTCCCTGCTCTTTTCTTCATATCGTTGACGCCAGTGTTTGATTTCCTGGTTTTTCAGCTTCAGCTGTGATGATGACACAGCCATTATGCTGTCATCCGTCTCAGTGTCAGAACTAGCAACCTTTTGCCTCCTCTTCTTTGGGACCTACAAAATTATTTTAGTGGTATGCAACTCCAAATCAGGGAGAAAAGAAAAAAAAAAAGCTCTTACCGGCGCATTTAAATGTATAGACTCAGCATTTTTTTTTCAAGCTCTCCAGCTGCTTCTTCAAGATATCGGCGTAGGCGCTGTCTTTCGCGCTCTGCCGGTTCTCCTTCTGTGTCTTCTTCTCCTGTTGTGGTAAAGAAGTGCACCAGAGTTTCCTCGCATAAAAACATCGTTACTGTGCAAGCGCTGCTTGCATATGCTTATATTCATGCAAAATAGGGGGTAATTAAATGGCAAAGCATCTCTCTGCAGTTATTTTGATGCCACAGCCAAAATTGTGCACCGAAATATGGAAAGCAAATCTGGCTGCCATTCAACAAAACAAAGCAATTAATTAGGCTCGTGTGCGCGCGTATCGTCGCCCTAACCGCAAGTCGAAGCAGTCCAAACGGGTCCAACCAACGAGCTTGAGCAGGAAGTGAAATTCATGCAGTATACGGCTACTACAAGAACACTCGAGCTTGATCTGATCACAATCTTTCAGAGGCAAGGAAAATAGATGCAAGCTTCGAATCAGCATACGCGCCTAGCTTTTTTGCACCGTGAAGCAACGTACCTGTCTCTCTTTTCGTTGTGCTGCTTGGGAGGTCACAGGCTCGTCAATGGCCTCTTCAGCCTCATAATCCGAAGCGTAAATCCGTGCCTTCCGGACACGCTTTGCAGATCTTTTTTGTTGGAGGCCTTCTTCGCTTTCTGTATAAAACAATTACGATAATTAAATAATGCACGGTGAACAGCAGTTGCGTTCTCAAATGTTCTCAAGCTTTAGCGCAGATTTGTCAGATACATACCTGCCATCATTAAGATTTGGGCCGAGTAGTAGCCAGAGTTTTCATGCTCGGGGTCGTCCCAGAAGGCTTGGTACACAGCCGAAGGGTCGAAGTCGGTGTCGTCGGATGGGTCAAATTCTTTTATGTTGCGTGTAGAAACAACATACACCTTGTCTCTGAACTCATTTGGGAAGCGAACGAGCGCAAACATATTTTAAACTTCCTATTCACTTCACGCGCCAGTGAACCCGCACGTGGAGCGAAAGTGCACGTACGGTAATTATAAACACATGGCGCACGCAACAAAGAGCAGAAAAAAAACACACACACACAAAACGCAGTCTTGGCTAGGCTTGGCTATAAATTTTAGGTATATCACGTCAGTAGCAGAGGTCAGTTGGCAGTAGTTTAAAACAAAGTTTTTAAATACTGTTTTCCGATCTAACAATTAATAATATTTGATATACTCAAAAAGATGTGAATTTAAAACGAAATTTACTATGCCCTGCGTAGTTCCGCTTAAGCCCGTAACTAGACGGATGAGACGGATGCTTTTTGTTGGATATAGCCAACAAGTGGCATCCATAGCCTCCCTGCTCCCTGGCCTTACGGCATTAGGCATCGGGTGCTCCAGGTTCGTTGTTCCATCCGTCGTAAACAACAGTTCTAACCGTTCTTTTTTTTTTTGACGCTTTGTGAAATTTGTTTTCACGCTGCACAAGAACAGTAAGACAAAAGAAATGCTTTCCAAGCACAAGACTCGGAAGCGTTACTTAGAGCCGGATGCTGAGCCACATGAGCGTATGCCTAAATCGACAACTCACAGACTCAAAACTGCAAGAGCACCAACCCCTTCAACTAGTACTGGCTCTTCCACGTCCTCTACTTCCTTTGAAGCTCAAGTACCGGACTGCGCAGATGGCCCAGAGGGAGATACCTGCACCGAGGAAGAATGTAACTCGCCGGAGCACGAAAGTGCTCAAGGTTCAAACCATGATCGGCCGTTCGTCGAGTTTGTCACGCCTCTGGGGAACGGTACTTCACTCTCTGTTGGCGACGCTCTAGTGTTAATCATGGACTATGCAATCGAAGTTGGACTTGCGTGGACCGACATCGAAAAGCTTCTGAAGCTACAAAACCGGCTGCTGGGAACGAGCAGCCTCCCAGAGAGCAAGCATTTATTTCGTAAGTTTGCCAGTGCCTCCCCGGATGACGTCACGTTTCACTTCTATTGCCCGACGTGTGAAACTCTGCTCGGAAAAACAACAGGGAGCCTAAAAGAAAGACAGGCCATCTCGCCTACCTGCTCGGTGTGCGGTGAGCGCTACACCGGGAGAGATCTCATGTCGAGAGGAAATTATTTCATCAGTCTTCCGCTGGAGAAGCAACTTGAATCGGTTCTGGCTGACGAAACCGTGCGAATCAAGCTAGCGGAATCCCTGACGACTGCCGCTGCACCGAGGTCATCCACTGTGAAAACGGACATAACCGACGGCGATTTCTACCGCGACCAGCGTGCTAAACTTGGTTGTGGGGTTCATGACCTCACCGTTTCCATGAACGCGGATGGCAGCCCGGTGTTTAAGTCTGCGAACTATTCCATTTGGCCCGTCCAGTTGACGCTGAATGAGCTGCCACCATGCTTGCGCTGGCGTTCTGTCGTCCTGCCATTGTTATGGTACGGTGCAAAGCATCCAAATATGACCCTACTGCTTCAAGCCTTCACAACCCAGATGGAAAGGCTAGCCGAAGACGGGGTCACCTGGAATGCTGGGGGCGTAACCGTAAACTCCAAGGTGAGTTTCCCGCTTGACACACTTGTAGCAGCTAAAATGTAGAAGCCTCTCTTGTTGTAGCTGTCTGCATAGCTGCAGGAGCTCCTAGTTGTGTGCTCATACAATTATAACATCCATCTGCACGCATGAATGCAGCTCCACGATAATTGCTGGCATTTTTATAGGTCTATCACAGATCTGCTGTACATAGTTTTCACATGACGTCATTCTGTTCGCCATACCCAGGTACTAAGTGTCCCCACAATACAGTGGACCATACAATGTCGTGCACTTCCGCGAGCATTAATGCTCTTGAGGCTTGGCCGCCTGTGCAAAGGACTGGGTACTGAGTTATGTGGGTGCAAATTATTTAATCGGACAAGCTTTTATATCGCTTGTTTAACACCATCAGATCTGTTGCAAATCTATAAAAGGTTTTACATCAGTAATAGCCCCGACTATCTGACACAGATAACTTATAGCAGATCTTTTTTCCAACTTTTTTATTTGTATAGATTGTGGTCACAGGGAATATTAACAGAAAAGCTTGTTTGCAGGTCTACTGCATCAGCTGTGTGGCAGACTCCCCGGCAAGGGCAGCGATGCAGAATGTTATGCAATTTAACGGTTACTATGGATGTTCCTGGTGCCTCCACCCCGGAGTTTGCATAAATGGTAAGAAAACAAAATGTGATTTTACTCATTTGAAGCTATTTATAGGATACATGCATATATTCCAAGCTAGGGAGGCTTTCTCCAAAAAGGAGAAAGCCAGCCTCTCTAGCGTTTTGTCTGATTCCTCCTGCCCATCCTTCCTTTTCCTTGCCTGAAGATCTAAACCTATCAGTGACTACAGGAATACTATTTTAGACAATTAGACAAACCCTTTTTCAATAAGCACTGAAATTTTATGCTTTATTACTTTCAGGTTTTATATTCTCTGTTCATTTTGTGCTATTAATATCAACTGGAAATAATTCATACAAAATAATCATTCACATCACCTTCCCTGCAACATGAGAAATCTCTACTGTAAGCATCTTATTTTTGCGATTCGTGAAATTCACAATAATTAGGTCCTCATGAAAATTAAGTTGTTCACAGCATTTGCATACTGCTTGTTATTTATAATTTTGTGGACTCCCTCATGCAGGTTGCATCAAGTATCCTGCAAGTGCTGGTGCTATGGATGACCGGACCGAGCGTGGAATGGTTGAGGACATGAAGGAGGCTGCAGCAAGCAACCGCACCATCCATGGAGTCAAGGGACCATCGCCCCTTCTGAACGTACCAGGCTTCGATATAGTCTGGAGTTTCCATCCAGACTATATGCACGGCGCCCTTCTGGGCGTAACGCGGCAGTTTGCGGAGCAATGGTTTTCTGCTGTGGGTGAGGATTTTTACATTGGGCAGCCTTCACGGCAGTCTATTGTAAACGAAAGGTTGTGCAGCCTGAAGCCACCGCAGTGCTTGAACCGTCCGCCACGAGCACTGAAGCTCAGGAAATATTGGAAAGCGGCCGAGTGGCAGGCCTGGTTATTTTATTACTGCCTGCCATGTGTGAAGGGTGTTCTGCCAGATGTTTACTACGAGCACTTCGAGCTCTTTGCCTCCGCTTTGTACATTCTGACGAAGACAGAGGTGACACGTGAAGATGTAGATCTTAGCACGGAGAAACTGACAGAGTTTGTTGTTGCCACCGAGTTCTTGTATGGCAAGACGCACATGAGTTCGAACCTGCACATGCTCCTGCACCTTCCGAAGGCTGTGCTCCTCCATGGGCCATTATGGGCACTATCATGTTTCCCGTTTGAGTCCAACATGGGGCATCTTTTGAAACTCATTTCCTCGTCGAATGGTGTGCCCTTCCAGATCTTATCTCGGATCCTCCTCCGCAACAGCTTTTTCGAGCTGAGGAGTATGGCTTCAGATGAGGTCCGGGAACACCTTTCGACGAGGAAACCTGACAAGCCAGGTGACTTGCACCTTTTTGGCAAACCTAGGCAGCTGCCCGACTCTCTGCTTGGACTTGTTGAGGAGCTGGCCTCGGAAGTGATGCAGGACATTGTCGAGTACGACCGTGTGCGTGTTGCAGGGCACACATTTCACAGCACGCAATACCGTGCTCCCATAAAGCGGGACTCCACAGCCCTAAGGCTGGGGGATGAGTTCATAAGAGCTGAACACATCCTCTCTTCAAGTGGTGAGAATGGCAGTCGGAATGTGTATGTTGCTTCATATGCTTATGATGTCTCTGCCTTTGGAGGTGTGCAACACCTCCAGCTTGCTCAAAGGCGACAGACTATGCAGTTGCATAAGGTTCGTGGGTGTGTGCGTCCATGTATGTATTTAGACATTGATGGCACAATCATCTTCGCCGAACTGTGCAATAAGTATGAATGGTCATAGAAGTCTAACACTGGTCACTATAATGGTGACAGGTCAAGAGTAAAAGATGAGCTGGAGAGGAGGAAGCAGAGCGAAGGTTGCACTTCAGCCTTCGTTCTGCTTCCTTCTCTCCAGCCTATCTTTTACTCTTACCTGTCACCAACTGTGGGCATCTAGGACAAGGAACACTCCACCGATTTTTTTCATGGTCGCCAATTTGCCTCACTTAGCCCAACACACCGATAGGCATTGCAGAACTCCTAACCATGATATTTTGTTCAAGTAATATTTTGTTGTGAGGTTGCTGCATTATCAAACCTTAAAGGAGCTGTGCAACAATTTCAAGGCTTTGCTTAAATAATTGTGGAAGTTGATGCCTGACACTTCTGAAGTGAACTACAGAATACAGATTTTGCCTGGATACCTTAGTTTTTATTTTAAAAAGTTAAAAAGATCCAGTTTTTCGCCGCCTCTCGACCTGTACATCGTCTTCCGGGTCACGTGCGCAGTGACACGATGGGGTAGGCGCGGGGTTCCGGTAAAGTTCTCTCTCTAAAGCCACCAGTGAGCAGCGAGAACTCATCCGCTCGCAACCGCATGACCACGTGCTGGTGGGCGCAGCGCGAATAATATGATGAAAGGAGGAAAGTCTCATCCGGGTCCGGCCATACCCGTCCACCTGTCCCCCTCCCCCTCCGGCTTGTGGCGGCTGTTCGCAGTAGCAGAGAGGGCTGGTGGTTTTGTGGACCTAGGATAGATGGCACCATTAAAAATCTATATAATAAAAGTTCTGTCGATAATTACCAGGTTCTCGACGCATTTATATTTATGTTGGAACGACAAGATTTATAGAAAAGTTATCTCTTATCGAGCACATATTCGCACAACTTGCTATATTTCTACAAGACCCCCCGTTGACATCACTTCGCGTGTTTCTCATGGCCGCCGCTCGCGGCTGCAGGTCATGGAATATTCTAATTTTTTCCTCTTGATTATGCGGCGGAATCGCAACATTTCGAAGGGAAGAGGTGCGTTTTCTGTCCTTTGTGACAAGATGAACAATGTCAAAAGTAGAAGATGCCAATTCTTTCAACGTTAAAGTCGTTGCACAGCGCCTTTAATTCTCACTGGTTTTGTTTTTTGTTATTGTTTTTCTTTCTTTTTCTTTTTTTTTTTTGCATTTTTGAGACAGCAACATCAAAGGGAGTCTCAGGTCCAGTGTTTGGGCAGTAGAACATGTTCCCAACTGATTACATGAAGCTTGATGGTGTAATATGGGTGCTGAGGAAGCTTACTTCAACCGTGATGAAGCAACATGAGACAAATGCACGCTTTCTTAGAGTGCTAGCTCGACTTGCATTTCACCCTTAGGCCGTGGATTCAGGAAATGTAGTGAATTTAAGCAGCTCGAAAATCGGTGGAGTACCCTTTTGAAAGGGGACACTGGCTTGAGTACTGGAGGCCACTATGCTTGTAAAAACTTTTTTGTACTTCCAAAGCTGGAAAAACTTATATCGAAAAAGATCATTGCATGATAGTTGCCGCAGAAACTGTGGTCAGTGTCTTTTTGTCAGTGACGTCGTCCAAGCGATGCTCCCAATGTCGCAACGTAGGATGCTAACAAAAGTTGCTACAGCAACAATTGTGTAATACTCTTTTTCATCACGTGTATTTCCTGCTTAAAGGCCCATGCACCTTGTGCTTTACACTTTTTTTGTACTTCTCTCTCTGCTATACCTTCCACACATCTCCCTTTCACAATGCAGCTCCCCTTGCAGTTAGGAGAAGACGTTGCTAAAAGGATTAGCTCCCCCACAGACGTTGAAGGTCAAGCGTCGGTGTTTTAAGTGACACAATATGCCATTTGCTACTCTGAGTACACATTTGTCTAGATACATCAGTTTAGTCACATATATCCAGGGTGTTTGCCAGCCGTGTTTTGAAGAGTTTTGGTTTTCATAGTTTGTTTTCATTGCAACAGTTCTGCTTGCATTATCTTTGCACCTAAACATGATCTGAATAATAGCTTTTAGTTTTGATACCTCATACATCGTGGAATATAACAAGAATGAATCTTCTGAATTTAATAAATATAGGATTTTTTAATAATACACAATATCATGATTTCATTGCTCTTTGCTGTGCAATTACTGCTGATGGATGAATTTTTGCTTTTAATTTATTGGTAATTTTTAATGCACACCCTTTGCTGAGTCTATGCCATTATTGAAGTTGTGATCTTAATAATCTGACAAGGGGAAAAAGTAAGCTTTAATGTGTTGCAAAAGCGAATGCACACCCAGTGTCAGTATTCCATTTAAAACAAAGGAGAAAGGAACTTGAGCAAGCATTTTATAACATTAATTTTTGCCCCCTTGGCTGCAGAGATGTAATTTGAATCATTTGATTTTTGTTGTGAACTTGCTGTGTTTTTTCTCTTTACTCGATTTTCACCGAAGTTATACTTTTCGTGTAACACCTCTTTTGATTAAGCTAGTTGGTTCGTTGGTTTCTTGCTTTCGTCATTTGTTCCAGATTTTATTGTTACTGAGATTATGATAAAAACATTGTATTGCTTTTTTTCTGTGTGTGGTGTATAGCTTTATTTTGAACTTCTTTGATGCCCCATTATGCTTTGTGGTATCCGTAAATAAACAAGTAATTAATTGTCATGTTTAGTTGTTTTTGTCTTTTAAACATGGTTTCATCAGGCATTTATTTCAAGCCTTAAAAGATACTAAGCACTCTATGAATAAAGTTCTGTTGTTAGCAAGCAGCTTGCAAAAATGGAGGCACTTTTTTATTTAGCCCAGTTACCTAATTAATAAAGATGTACAGAGCTAACTTTTTAAATTTAGGTTTGAGGTGTCACTTGAAGAGTTGTAGAGTGCCCAACTGAGGAATTTACAGCAAAATACCATCACAGTTTGTTTTTTTTCCTCTAAAGAAAATTTGTGAATTAAGGCACTCCGCGATTAGTTGGGTTCATTTTGACATTTTAAAGGCTTATGGACCAGAAGAGAAAAAAAAAGAAGCAAGCGAAGCATGTTACATAGAAAATTCTTAGATCAGGTGTTTTAAGGCGCTCCACGAGTTTCCAATTGACACTCTGGCCCTTAAATAATTAGAAGCTTGTTCATTAGTGGCAGATAATAGGCTCAATAAAAAATTAGTTAATTTCATTTGTGAAGTGCACTTGCATTTTCTTTATAGCTTGGTTTGTGTTAATTGGAACACCCTGCATACAGGTAGTAATTAACATAAAAAGTTTCCCTTTGCGTGAACATCTCGATGTAGAGACTATATGCGCATAATTAATTGCCGCATAAGTCAAGCTAACCCTAAATGAGCACATAGGGTAGATTCCATGTGTGCCCGCATCCAAATCAAAATTATGTTCGATCACTGACCACTGTCAGTGGAAATGGGATCAGCTGATAGTAAAATATTAAATCAAAATGGCATGACCACTTGGGGATCTAAGTGGGACCACTTAGATTGAGTGGTGGGGTGCAAGTGGGCCATGTGAACCCAAGTGGTACCACTTAAGATAGAAGTGGTACCACTTTAAAAGAAAACTGATACCACTTACAAGTTAAGTGGGACCACTTACAGGTAAAGTGGGACCACTTACAAGTAAAGTGGGACCACTTACAGGTAAAGTGGGACCACTTGCAAGTAAAGTGGGACCACTTTAAGTAAAGTGGGACCACTTGTAAGACCACTTTGAATTTTTACCTGGGTTAGAAACTTCAGGAAGGATGTGGTGTTGTAGGAGAGAAGCCAAGGCGTAGGCCAGTTGTAATACCTTATGTTCATAAGTTGAGCCACAATATAAAGAGTGTGGGGCAAACACTTGGGGTTCCCGTGTTACTCTCAGCACCTCAAAACTGGGCAGATTGTGTGGAATAGTGGAACGAGGGGAGACACGCGTCGGTGTCTGTCAGAAGAAGCATATGACCAGGTATGTGGAGTGTAGCGAGGGCGTGGTTTACAAGATTCATTTATCATGTGGCAAAGTATACATAGGCCAATCGGGACGTTGCATAAATGATAGGCTCAGGGAGCGTGCACTGTCAGTTCGATCGTCACCCTCGGGAGACCAGGCCGTGCACTGTGACAGATGTGGGTGTGTCCCGAAGTTTAACAACACCATTATTTGGCCCGAAACCGGAACAAAATGAAAAGGGAGATATCTGAAGCTTTTTTTCATATCCGAGTACGTTGAAGGAACGTGTGTCAGCGCGTTCCTTCAACTATTTGGCATTGAGGTGAATATCTTTCGTAAAGTAGATAGCGGACAGACGAACACTGATTGGGTGATGTCGCATTCCTGTAGTACATGTTGCGATTTCACGGTATATATATATATATATATATATATATATATATATATATATATATATATATATATATATATATATATGGTGTTTACTGCGAATAAACTTTAGTTGCAAGTAGCACTCTCTGTTGATGGTTTTGTTGCTTGTCCGTTGTTTTTAGCGCTTTTGGCATCACAAACCACTGTCTATTGGGCCCGGACTTGCCCGCAGCCCGCCATCTATTTCTGACAGCCGGGCGGGCCCGGCCCGAACCTCATTTTCGCAGGCCAGCCCTGCCTTATTTTAGCCCAGTATGAATAGCTCACAAATTGCGCGGCATGGCAGCTCGCTTGCAACTGCTACAGATAAGTTGATTACGATACCCAATAGTAAATACTGTAAGCAATTTTGGTTGCTTTTATTAGTGTACCAATCTGCAGGCCTAGGACGCTTGTCAAAAAAAATCACCCGATATTCCTTTTTTGCGATCAAACACGCGCGGAAAGCACGAAAAAACAAAAATGGCAAGCAGAAGTAAACAAAACCGCGTGTCACAGTTGGAAAGCAAGGGAAACACCGCGACGAGTTCGGACAAAAGACGGGCAAAGTTCTAAATTGCCATTCTCGCTGCGCACAACCGTAAAAAAAAAAAAAAAAAAGGAGTAATGCCGTTGTCTTTTGTGGTGGTCTGCGAGAAATTTTTCAGGAAAGTACCCCTCAGGGGAACTTCTTCCCCCCTATTGGTATGCAAGCCCTCGTGCGTACAGATGGTTTACGCCGGTGAGGCTACGCATTGTATAGGCGCATGGATGTGCGTGTTTGTGGTGAGAAGCGATTTTATGATGGCGGCGCCGCCGGGGACGAAAAGGAACGCCGCGCCGCTAATCTGTGGAAGAGCCTTCGCTGCACACAGCGAACCATACCAAAACAGACAGCCACAGACTCATGCTTCAGCGTCTGTTTATCCCCCATTGTGGTTCCTCTCTCAACCCCCAAACACGCTTCCGAAAAGCAAACCGATAAAAAAAATGACCCGTTTCGCTTGCTTTGGCACCTTTTCTAGACTTGAGTACAAGGCCCGCACCCGGCCCGGGCCCTTCATGAATGTAGCCGTGAAGCCCGAGCCCAGCCCGAGGCCCGGGCCGGCCCGTGGCCCGCGGTCCGGCCCGTACCAGTGCAGATCTCTACTTGGAACGCTGACGGCTCGCACCTCTGTTATGACTGGGCAGACAACGCCGCCTGGCGGCGAGCGACGGAGTTAGCGCTATTGCACTCTTCAGCTGGGGAGTGACTCGAATGGGAAGGCCGGAGAAGCCTTCGCGTGCGAGCTTCAGGATTTCGGCGGCTGTTTCTCCGCCTCAGTCTCAAGGACCGCTCACCCGATGGCGCTGCGTGTCCGTCAGCGTGCTTTTAACACAGAGCGTCCAAAGTCAACGCGCTAAGGGGAGCGCGCGCGCTGACCGGCGACGAAGAGTACGCAGCAGAGGAAACAAGGGAGTGGACATTCGGTTCGCCTGCGTACGTATTCACAACTCATAAAAGGTGTTTAGGTGTATATCGAGCTCTATTTTTCTCTCCACCAGGG